GTCAAAACCGCGGCGATAAAACCGTGACATTAACAGCGCGCCCACAAAGGAGCACTGACAAAAGAGCGCCGACAGAAGCGTGATTAGGGTTAAGGTAAGGGTTAGGGTGAGGGTAAGGGTTAGGGTTAGGGTTAGGTTTAGAGTGCGCTTCTGTCGGAGCGCTGTTGTCGGCGCGCTTCTGCGCTCATTCGTCGGCTCCATTTCGAACTCGCGGTTTTATTGCCGCGGTTTCATTGGCGCGCTTTTGTTTGCCGTGCATTTGTCGGTGAACCCTCACATACACATACACACCTCACAGTGTTAAGAGTCTTTATAAAGGTTTCCATGCCTGTATTAGTATTCCCCAGCAATTCTGGGTTCCAGCATCAGCTCACTCCCAATGAGTTCAGCAGACTGCTAAAAAAAAAGCCAGCACTAGTCCACTAGGCGAAGGCAAGTCCCCAAGGCAAAGTCAAGTACACAGGGCAAGGGAAGTCCAGAAGGCAAAGGCAAGTACACACAAGGCAAAGGGAAGTCCATATGGCAAAGGCAAGGCCACAAGGCAAAGGCAATTCCATAGTTGAAGAGGCACGATCCAAAGTTCAAGGCAATAACACACAACAAGGAAATGAACACATTCCCAGCATAGTTTCACTCCCCTTGCTGAACTAAACTGTTTCCTGGTGCAGCCCATAACGAGGGACGAGGCTGCCTCCTCACAAGTAGCCTGGCTGGTCTTCTTTGTGCCTACCTCCTCTCAGCCCTACATGGTCTCGGATCTAGAGGAGAAAGCAGGTCATCTTCACCTCCACCGACCAGCTGCAGCTGTGTGTCCTCTCCACTCAAAGCTTCTGGACTTCCCAGCTGCAGTTGTGCCACTCTTGCCTGCCTCTAGCTAAGCCAGCTGCTTGTCTGGTTCCTCCCCTGTGCTCGGCCCCTCCACTGCTGGCTTGCAGTCCTCGTCTTCCACCCCTCCTGACATGCCCGGGACGGGCTCATCCTCCTCTGAATTAGCATCCAAAGGGGTATCTGGGGAAGCATCTGGGGGAGCCATCACACCTAAAGAGATTGTTTTCTAGGTGATATAAGATTGGTCTGAAGGCCACATGAATGGTAACATGAATTTGTTAAGAAAGTTTACTAAATTGATCTTATTCTAGATTAAGGAATAATTAATCTGAAATAAGATTTGTCGGATTCATAACCTTTTCAGTAAATTACAAAAATGCTACAATAAAACACAATTTTATTTTAGTAAAACCTTTTACAAAGTACTTTATGGCATTCTGATGAGCAAGTTAGTGTACGGATGTCATTACAGTTAAGCATATATGTAGTTGAAAATCATACTTGGAGAACACTATCAATGGTTCTTCCTCACAGTGGAATTAATACCAGTTGGAGTAAATTACTACATAGTCTTGGACCCTGTACAATTCAAGCTTTTTATTTATGGCTTGGAGGAAGAGATGGAGAGAATGCTTATTAAATTTCAGGTAATAGAAAATAAAGTAGGATATTTTAAAATAATCCAAAAATAAAATTCAACATTACCACAATGTGTGAGATAAATATGCTAAGAGAATTAAATATTAAAAGAGACAAATATAAAGTTCTTTTTTAAAAAAAATCAAATGCGCAGTAATACAGTTAGGGACATATGGTAATAATGCTTGTGAAAAGTATTAGTTGATTACAAACTGAATCTGAGTTGGTTGTTAGTTGTGGGGTTTTTTTTAAACATAAAGGTAGGAGGCATCCTGTATAACATATCAATGGTTTTCACTTCATGTTTAATAAGTAAAAAGTATTTTAAAAAGCATACTGATAATATAGATGTATCCACAATTCAATTAAAAATTTGAATGGAATAATGTGTGATCAGTTTTAACAAGATATAATAATAACTGAAATGAAAGTATTTTTTTCTCTCCTCAGGTAACTTGTATGTATTTCCTCTTACCCTTGTGTTAGGGGCAACCGGTGTTGGCATTCTAGTTTTAGTTTTCGTCATCATACTTATTGTGTGTGTTATGATCAGAAAGAAGAATTCCAAAAAGCATTATTCTGGGTAAGGTACTATACTTGTTTCTTTAGATATGCAAGGGTGGAGGGGATGGAATATGAACAGTTTGAAACATGAATTTGTGCATTTATATTTTGGATTAAATTACTGGGACAGCTAGAAACCACATCCTTCTGGGCTCATAAATTATCAACTTCATGGTATACATATATTTGTATGTTGCTCCTCTTTGTGAGCATAGGTCCATTAAGTTTAGTATCCTTGGAAAGTAGCCTAAAACTGCCCCCTTGCAACTGTCAGAATAAAGGAGGTTGTGTCACTAGCAGGTTACATTCTGGATGGCACAACTTTTTTCTCTTAAGATTGGGGGTATGGCTGCCAGTTCCTTTTACAACAGTCCGCTTTCCATAGCTTTCCAATCTTGGCTTTGGGAAAACTGCCCTTTTCTTATTTTCACTGGCTTTACCATATGCATGACTTCTTTTTGTTCCTGTTGCACTCATGATGCCTCCTGTAATTTGGCTTTAAGGAACTTCTATTAGACAATATCTTCAATGTGGATTATTTGCCATGAACAATTGGTTGATGGGCTCCTTTGAACTGGTGGTGACATTTACTTTGCTTTATCACTTAATTCCAACAGAAATGCAGCCCCGGTGCACAAAATATTGCACATAACAATTCTTTCAGGATCAATCATTTCATGGCCTGACTTCTTGCTTTTGTAGATCCAGTAAATATTATTCATGCAGTGCTGAAAAATCAATTTGTACTGGGTGTACGTAATTGGCATCTTTTTTGTAACCTTCTTTTCAGCTGCAGAATTTAGAAAGTGCTGCAGTAGATGTCAGTGGTAAGGTTGAATGAGTGCAGTGAATTGGCTGTATAAGCTCTGGCTCAGTGTGGAAAGCTTAATTTCCCTTGTGCATGTACTGTTTGTGTAACACTTGAATACTGATCTGCACCCAGGATGCCATATCTTAATATGAATAATAATTTTTCATCAAGTGTATTATTTCTGAAGGTTTGGGACAATCTTTGTATAAAATTATTGCTCTTTTGTGGTTGCCTCCATGCAACAAACATTAACATTGATTTCATTGACTATACTGTATTTCTGATGGTTACTAAGTGGTGGGATGTCTATTCTAGTAATGACAAATAAGAATTTATGTGCGTGCGCACATACACACATATAATATGATATTTAATTTCTAAATAAACTAACACTAGAGCTGTAACTGATTGAGACAGGTGGTAATTTCTTGCATGGCAGTATCACAATGTCTATTTTTCTTTGATCCCCCCCACCCTATTACTGCTTTGGTATGCTGGGATTGGATCCTGCTTTTTATCTTCCTTTCCTTACAGAGATCCTGATATAGATGCAAGACTGGGAATGTAACAGGGCTGGGTCATCTCTTCCAGTCCCACTATATATCATGGTAACTAATCATGCCAGTAGTTCTTTGGTACTTCATGTCCATATGTGTATACATTTCTGCCTCCCTTGCTTACTATCCTGCTAACATACTTCCAACACTTATGCTGAATTTCTGTTTTGTGGACTGTTGGTGAAGGGGCAGCATATCTCATCTGTTGTTTGCATTTTGTCGTCTCATTTCTTTAGTTTTGGCAACAAGGCTATGTAACTTCAGAAGCAGCTAATTCAGAGCATGCATGAATTGAATATTTGGACTACACTATGAGAAAAAAAAATAAGACTGCTGTCAGTAAAAAAAAAATGCACCTGAAAATATTTTATGCACAAACTGTGAATTCAGTATTATTAACTGGTTCAGTGCAGAGTTGCACATTCTCTTAGAATAGATTCAAGATGCTTATTTGTCCTTTGACCGTTATGTGCTGGGGTTGAGTCTCAATATGAATGTCCATTGGCTAGCTCTTACGTATGTTTTCTCAGTAATGTGTTTCTTATATTGCTTTATATCTCATATCTGCCTTTTGAATGTTCAGTATTTATGTTCGATAACAAAATTGATTAGTGGAGGGCTGCTTTCTGCTTAATAATAGCATTGTCATCTTTTCATTGTCACACTTGCATATGCTTTTAAGTGATGCTTAAAATTTTTGAATCTTTTAAAATTATCAATATTTGGTCTCAATATGACCTAAAACATGATTTTGTTTTCCATACGTCCTAAAACTAAATAAAGAGAACTCAATTAAACAAATGAGTCAAAAACTTACTTGTTCATTTATTCATTGGGGAAAACGACTCAAAACTTCATATTTATGTGTGGCAAAGGTTGCTGAATTTCTAGGATGTTCATTTGAATGGAAAATTAGATATTTCAATAAATGGGATGATAATCAGATGTACATGTGTAGGGGCCTGTCCTTATTTAAAGAATAGAATTCTGGATAATCACAATCAAAATCTAAGCTTCCCAACACAGGCATGTAGAAGTGTCCCTTTGCTTGAACAAGGAGGTTTCTGTGGACCTCCAACAAAACAGTTGCTGATGCTCACCAAAGTGGAAAAGGTTACAAATCTGTTTTCAAAGAGCTTTGATTTCATCAGTTTACTGTTGGGCAGATTGTATGCAAATGGAAACAATTGAACACCATTGTTACCCTCCCTAGAAATAGTCAACAAATCAAGATTACACCAAGAACAAGGTGTGTTATGCTCTGAGGGGGCTCAAAGGAATCCAGGGTAATATATAACGAATGTAAGGCTTTCTTAAATTAGCAAATGTCAGTGTTTGTGAGACCACTATCAGCAGATTATTGAACAATGGCAAGATTGCAAGAAGAAATAAAGAGCCATGGATACAAGATGGGCGGTAAATAAAATGTATAAATAAATAGATAGATAGATAGATAGATAGATAGATAGATAGACAGACAGACAGACAGACAGACAGACAGACAGATAGATAGATAATAAGAAAGTCAGTACTTCCCCAAAAGAACATTGCTGCTCATGTACAGTTTGCAAAAGACCACATGAATAAGGTGGGCAGCTACTGCAAGAATATAGTGTGGATGGATGAGGAATAGAATGTTTTGGCTTGAATGAAGGCAAATGCTGCAATCTAGAAAACAACTTTACCCCATCTGGGAAACATGGTAGCAGCAGTATCATGGTTTGAGCTTGTTTTGCTGCCTCTAAACTAGGACAGCTTGCCATCATTGATGGAACTATGAATTTTGAATTGTACCAGCAAATTCTATAGGAAAAGGTCAGGGTATCTGTGAACTGTAGTTCCAGAGAAAGTGGATCACTCAGCAAGACAATAACCCAAATGCAAAGTGATACCACCAAAGAATGTTTAAACAGGACAAAGTTAATGTTTAGAATGACCAGGTCAAAGTTTTGACCTTAATTTTATAGAAATGCTGAGGAAGAACCTAAAGTGGGCAGCTGATGCAAGGAATGAGAAGTTACATAATTGGAAATGAAACAGTGGAAAAGTTGCTTATGTACGAATTTCTATATATGGAGGAATGGACTAAAATTCCTCCAAGCTGATGTGCAAGACTGCTTAAAAGTTACAAGAAACTTTTAGTTGCAATTATTGCCTTCCAAGGGAGATACACTGGTTACTGAAAGATTCCTATACCTTTTCCATAAAATAAGTAGCTTGAAATTATTTTCCTCAATGAAAAAAGAAAAAATAAGACATTTTTTATCTATTTGCTTAATTGGGTTCTCTTTAACTAGTTTTAAGATATGTGTGGAGAAAATAATGTTTTAGATCATATTGATGCAGAAATATTGAAAATTCAAAAGGGTTCACAATTTTTTAAGCATCACTATGTTTGTTATTTAGGAAGAAAACCAATCTAGATTAGATTTCCGCAATATGATAACTATAGATACTTTGGGTATACTTCCCATCAGCAGCTATTGACCAAAACATTTGTAGATCTTATGCTGATATTTTGGAAAAGAGTTAATGGAATTTATATTGATATTTTTAGAGCCAAGCTAGGTATTTCCCAGCAGCAAATTTTATACAAAAAAGTCACTTCCAGATAATGTACTACTGTTAACCCTATGTTATCTGGTAGAGTTGGCAGGTCTAGATTCCATTTTTTAAGCTTGGTCAATTCAGGAGATGCTGGAAATTGTCTATCTTTGGGTAGCATCTTTTCTCCAGAGATGAAATCCTTTCTTTCCCTACCCTGATATTATTTAGATGAGCTCTTACAATCTAACTCTTTTCCCAAGGCCAGGGCTAGAGTGAGCGGTAGGACCCTTGTTAGTTGTTTTAATTTGTGAAATGATGGTGGTTTTCTCCAGTAGGTCCCTTTGTATTTTTAATTGTGTGGATTGTTTAGTTTAAATGTGATATATTTTATACCACACAGAGTCATAATGGAGTTGAGTGGCGAAAATGTAGTCATGACTGATCTGAGCAAGTATAAAGCAAGGATGTATGTGTTGTCTGTCATTCACTGAGGTCACTCTATTTGGCCTATTGCCACCTCATCTTGCCATCACTTGCTTTTGTTTTGTTTTGTTTTGGCTTTGCTTCTTGAATGTTATTCTGCAAAATCTGCTTGCCACCTCATCAGCTGCAGTACCTCTGAGAGCTTGATGTCTCCAGTTAAGCAGGCTCCACGGAAGTCCCCCTCCGACACAGAGGTTTTGGTAAACAGCGGGCCCATCCGATCTCATCAGGTAAATGGTATCATACTCTGACTCGGAGATTACCTAGTGACTGGAAAGACGGTGTTTTTGTTAAGGGGAGGAAGGGATAATTCATCACTGAAACACATACATGGAAAATATGTGGAAAAATTTCTGCTGTAATGGAATCTACGGTGAGAAATGTAGCTATCTTTTAGCTATTATTTTTATTGGTTTAGTTTACTTTAGATTATTGTCATTGTACCTCGTACAACTAAATTAAATGCCATCTTCAGTGTACATTATAACTATAAAAAATAAAACAAAAAGACATCCTTCACATTCTACACAATGGAACTTAAAACCTGATATTGCATTAATATTGCACTATACAGTAGAATTCGGTATAGTTACTACCCTAGGATAGAAGCTGTTTTCCAGC